AAGGTGCTGCTGATCGTGTGGGAAGCCAGACAGAGCATTAGAGGTTGCTGAGAGGTCTTAGCATCCTGGGACACTGTGGCCGCCCCCCTCCCACCTGTTGCCCTCTTAACGGGATGCCGCCCAAGGCAACCACCTCAGGCTGTCTAATTATAGGGGTGCCACTGAGTATATGGTCAGTTTTACTCTAATTCATTGCAATCTGATTGTGCAATCTTCTTTAGATCTAGCAACAGCTATGTAGTGCAAGGGTCTGCGTGATTGCATACAAATGGAATAGACACTTTAGGCAGGCTCCTAAAGTACATGGGAGACCGTACAGTGAGATTGTGTATCGTGTATACTTGACAGCATATGGTGTGCTTTTGACCGCTGTCACTGGTACAGGTGTCCCCTTAGAAGATTTCCCCCTCACCGCCTGTTGCTGGGACAACTGTACAGAATTGCATTTCCAATCACTATATGTACTGAAGTCAATGGCCACCAGATCAGACAGAATGGCTGCATCTCTCCATCAGGGACACCGGCAGCAATAGACCTAACAAGAGTTCTGACCCTTCCACGTTCAATCCAAAACTACAAAAAAAGCTTTGGCTTCATATACACTTTAAAGTGCACTTTAATAATGCCGTTTACTTACACCGCCAGAAAAGAAGCAGAGAGTCATGTGACAAGAAGCTACCGTGCTGTCCAGCTGCATTAGCATTTGCCATTAATGTATTACTGTTGCCCCCAATTGTTTTGGGTTTTACAGGCCCATCTTCGCTTACAGAAGGTCCAGTCACACTTTATCACTGCCCCGTGCATTCGAACACATGGGAAAGATGGCATACGCTGACACAAATACTGCTGTGCACAGTACAGATGGTGTGTTGTTGTGCATTAGGGTGGCATGCTGCATCTATGCATGTTGCTGATGTCCTGGCGGGACAGAACATGCTGGGAAAACCCCACGTCATTATTCACCCTCGGTGTCTCAGACGCCACTGTGGATGGGGCCTTGAAGGGAAGCTATAATGAGCTGGGGTCAATTTTATTTTATTATAAGTTTTTGGTTTAATAGTTAATGTAATTTATGTTGTTTTAATATAATTTATTACAAGATGCACCCATGGCGCTGCTTTTGCAGAGAATCACAGCTGTAGCTTTTCCCTTTGTGTCTCCCTCTAACTGAAATTCCATATATAGAAAGAAGGAGGACGAGTCACTCTTCATTCAACTGTGTGAACGGGGAGGGGTGGGGGAGGGGTTTAACTTCAACTTATTATCTCTGGCCTCAATACCAAGCACTTAGATGCACTTAGATCACTGAAGTCAAGATGAAGTCACTACAGATCTGCACTCTTGTTTCAAGTCATTGGATCAGCATGACAGCCAAGAAATTAGTATTTTCAGAAGGATAGGTCAGCTGTGGTAGCTTCCATACTTCCTCGGTACAGGTTTCCTTTAACCTTAAGGGAACTTCATGCCTACCAGTTCCTGTGTGTAAGCCCTCTCCTAAGCAATGACACAATTATAGGGGAGGGAATGGGGAGGCTGCAGAGTGATGGAGTCTAGAATGAGACGTGAGTCACATGGAGGCCAGCACTGAGTTGTGTTTGGTTCAGATTACATACAGACATTTTATTCTACATTTCCCTATATCAGGAGTAGGCAACCTTAACACTCCAGCTGTAGTAAAACTACTACTACTGGGAGTCAGTTAGAGTGTTGCAATGCCCTATGGGACTTGTAGTTTCACAACTGCTGGAGTGCCAAGGTTACCTACCCCTGATCTATATCAATGCATTTCAACCATCAATCCACTAGTAGTCACGTTCAGTTGGTTCCGTAATGCTGGAGACATTTCCCCGCTCATCCAGGTGCCTTTCTCATTTATAGCCCCTCACTATGGCACCATGGCCATTGGATTATGTAGTTTAGAACATTGGGGGGAATTTATCAAAACTGGAGCAGTAGCCTATGGCAACCAATCAGCTTCTCTCTTCATTTTGTTCAGTTAAGATTTGAAAATGAAAGAGAGAAGCTGATTGGTTGCCATGCACAGCTGCTCCAGATTTTGTCTGCTCCAGCTTTGATAAATTGCCTCCATGGTGTTTTCATAAACGTTCACACCTTCCGTTATATTCTTGGACAATCATCATCTCCCTCACCACAATTCTTGACACTGCGGTGATTGGAATATGGTGACTGAGTTTTCCATGTGACTATGTATACTGTAGCATGTTACCAACACTATAGAGCAGGGGTGGGGAACAATGGACTTCCAGCTGTTGTGGAACTACAAGTCCCATTAGGCATTGCAAGACTGACAGTTACAGGCATGACTCCCAGAGGCAGAAGCATGTTGGGATTTGTAGTTATAGCACAGCTGGAGTGTCGGAGTTGCCCACCCCGCTACAGACCATATAAAAAAACATATTATTACACTACAATGATCTTCTCAAGTTAACCATTTTTGCCTTATATTATAATCCTATTACATTCTGCCTTCTATTATATTATAGTTAAGTTATAACTGTCACAGAAGTCAGTCCCATAGCCAATATGAAGCTTTATTAAATGTTGAAGATGTAGCAATTAATGTCATTTTCACATCATATTCAAACAAAGTTCTTTTAAATGGCCCTCACAAGCTGCTGTTTATCTGATATTTTCCAAACATGAATATTTGTTTCCATAGTGTGGCACTTTGTATCAAAGCCATGATTTCTCTCCATGTAGTGACATCATGAAGGTGAGACAAACTAACCTGCTGTTAAACATCTCCAACATTCCCACTGAGGAAGCCTACTTAGCTGAAACCGGGTCGGCATGCTTCAATCTATGTGCATTGTTGTGTTTTTATGAATTAGGGTACTAGATTTGATTGTTTGGTACGCTGAAGTCATTATCCATTCGTTCCTTGGCTCCACTTTGCAGGGTGCTCCTGGGTCCGTTGCTATACATTGGAAGAAGAGTCTGGAGGTAGTTAAGAGTTTGCAGGAGGTCCATCCTGTTGTGAAAGAGCAGAACGTGCCCAAGGGGAGTGTCGGAGCAGAAGAACAGCGGATTAGATTGACTCACCTTCCTGACTGTCACCGTGTGGAGAGAAAACAGCTTTGATACAAAGTGCTACAATGGGGGAACAAGAATTTACACTTGTGAAACATCCCAGGACAAACAGCGGCTTGTGAGCACCTGTTAGAAAACTGCAACTTTGTTTCCATGTGATGTGAAAATGACATTTAAAGTGACACTAAACTCAGGAGTTAAATCTAAAAAAAAAATGCAAAGACCTTAACTATTAACAAATATTTATCTTATTTGTGTATCACTCGGCTGTAGATTCTCAAATCATCTCTGAATTGGTGCTGACACTGTCCTTCCTTCTGGAGGGGGCTACTTTTGTTCCCCATGGTCCCTGTGTGTGTTGTAAAGTAGCCACCACTCCAACCTCACTCCCGTGATTGACTACAATCTCAGATTTAGTTTAACAATTTGTATTAAGATTGTAGTCCATCACTGGAGCGAGCTTGGAGCGGTGGCTACTTTACAACACACACAGGAACCATGGGGAACAAAAGTAGCCACCTCCAGAAGGAAGGACAGTGTCAGCGCCAATTCAAAGATGATTTGAGGATCTACAGCCAAGTGATACACAAATAGGATACATTTTTGTTAATGGTTAACCTACTTGAATGGATTTTTAGGGTATAACTTTTGAGTTTAGTGTCACTTTAACTTCCACAGTTTTAACGTGATATTAAAGCTTCAGTTTTTTGGGGGTTTTTTTTCCATCTAGGAGGCCCACCTGCTTATAAATCGTCTGTTCTTTTTCTTCAAAAAGCTTCTATTCCTCGTTTTCTAGTGGGCCCGCATCGCTCATCCCCCCGTCCCCTGCACAGGGCCACCGTCAGCTAAGCGGCTGCTATGGAGGCACCTGGTCGTGTGTGTTCCCGCAGTGGCTGTGTGCATCCATAGACACATACAACCCTGCGGCAGGCCACGCCCCTCCTTGACTCCCTAAAGGGTGACTGATGGCAGAAGGAGCCTATGGCAAGTGACGTGGGAGCATCGAGCCGGCTTCCTGGCTAATTAGGAAGCCGGGCAGCGTGTAATGACGCGCTGCCCGGCTTCCTGATACCAGAAGTATCGGGCTAGGCTCGCCCAAATACTCAGCATCGGCACTGATACCGATACCTGTATATGTATGGGTGCATCCCTAACTATTCCTTTGGGAAGATCAGAACAGTGCAATATATTGTTTTTGCATTCTGACTAAGCTCTGTGCACCAGCTGCTGTTCATGTTTATTTCTACTCTTTAACCATTTTGTTATACATAGAATCTAACTAACACATATTAGAACCAAGACAGCCACTAAGATGACTGGCAACACATCTTCAACATTACAGAACAAGTCCAGTTGAATTTGACTGGCTATATGATGACCTGGATGAATTAGAACCTTCACAGACATATCCACAGTCAATCCAGCAAAAAAAAAATAGATGGCATGTGATTTCGGCTGAGATACCCCCTGGTTTCTTATTAATCTTCAGGGCTCCAGCATCAACTCCCCTTCAAGTGCTAGTTCTATTCTCGCCCTCCTCAGGTGTTCCTGAACCTCCTTTTAAAAGATGGAGAGTTAGACCTTTTCAGGAAGGAACTGCAACATGTCTGCAGGACATGGATCTAAAGTTCCGTGTTCCTCCCACCGTGGTCCTTAAGAGATCAGTTTTGGGCATCATATATTTTGCCAGAGAACTTGCATATTCCCTCCTTGTATACTAATGAACCCAACATAATGCCAGATATAACACAATTTGTGTATTTAGCCTTCTACATCTCTTAGTTGAATGAGTACAGCTGACAAGTACCTGCAGAAGGGTCACATAGTCTGTACTCCTGGTGCTGGGCATGGAGAGAGGTGGAGGATCTGTCTGTGTTGTCCTGGGACTCCCACACACTCCTGTAGTCCGCAATGTCACTAGCACCCTCAGAGGTAATGGGGCTGCAGAATCTGTTCATGGACAGAACCACAGTCATCTCTTATAACCAGCGATCTGCAAACAGACACAAAGCAGGATGTAAGTACTGTGACAGATGACAGTAACAAGCACATCAAAATACCAGTGCTGTGAACAAAGATAAACCCCAAAATAATGTGCGGAGTAGGGGTACAGAGTAAATATACATCTATCTTCAAGAAGATTCTAAAACAACACAGGACACAGAAAGATGACAGGCTCTTACCTCCATACACTACGTGATATAATCGTTATATTCCTATGTTTGATCACAATCATTTTTATGAGTCAATATCAACGGCCTTTGGGCAATCATTTGACTGCATGGCCATAACTGACTTGACTGAACACAGCAGCACAATCCGATCACTTACCTGTCCCTGTAATGCTAATCGAACAATTTCTGTTCCACTGCCAATCAAAAATAAAGTCTTTTTCTAAAGGGTTGCCTGCAGGTTGACCACTATAATCTGATGGTAGATAGCTTTTGATTGTTTCATTGTATTTGCAATCTCTTGGATCAAAATACATCAAACAGAACTCAGATGGAAGTCGTATAGGGGAGATTAATCTAATAGAATAAAAGGAATGATATAAATGGCATATAAAGCCCCAAGCGGGAAGAACCAGGCATGATTACCTCAATATATATAAGGAACATCAGACATGTGCATGCACTCATTGGCCAAGAATGGACAGGATGTCCAGCAGCTGCTATATCTCAGAGTTAAAGGAGAACCTAAATAAATCATCATCAATGTGTGTTCAAAGTAACAATAACAATCTATTTACATGTTTTAAACTATTGTTTGTACATAAAGGCATAAAGTCATATATCTTATTACTAAACAGTGACGTGTCTTCCAGTGCATCAGTATTCACTCCAAAGAGCCAAACGCAGAAAACACAACAAGTGAATGTTTCTACAATCACTGTGGTTGGTTTTAGTGCAGCTGCACCAGACATAGGGAATGGGGAGTATACTACAGAAGGTGGTTGGTTTAGTCTTAGGGGTTAGGGGTTATTAGGGATTAAAATAAACTATACTTAGGATAAGGGATTAGGGGGTTTAATTTGTTTTTAGGGTTTGGTTTTAGGGAGTTAGTTAGGGGTTAAGTGTTAGGAGAGATGTTAAAGTGTATGTAAACCCAGTGGGCAGCACAGCAGCTTAGTGGTATTCGAACTGGGAAGCCCGGTACTGCAAGACAGGAGTCTTGCAGTAACGGGCTTCCCAGTTTGAATCCCAGTCAGGACACCATCTGCATGGACTTTGCATGTTCTCCATGTGCTTGCATGGGTTTCCTCCCATACCCCAAAGGCTCTTCTCTAAATTGGCCCTGCATGTGTGTGTAATAGGGGTCTTAAATTGCAAAGCCCTTGAGAGCAGTGACTGATGTGAATGTTCTGTATGTAAAGTGCTCTGTAACAATTGTTGGTGCCATAACAAAATACCTGTAATAAATAAAAATCAATTAACCTTAGCTGCTACATTTTTGGTCTGTAAATATACTGTACAATTCAAGTGACCGTGCGTCATGTTTATGCGCAATGTACCATGCTTGCTCTGTGTCAGCATGGGGTAGCCCACTCATTTCAATGGCTGTCCTAAGCGCAACAAACACAAATCAAAAAGGCTTGCATTCTTGTGCATATGTCCCATGCCAATATGCGGGCACAGGTGCATGTTTTGCATGCCGCATTTGGGTTAACAAGTAATAGCACCACAAGCATGTTGCGTGTTTTCCCATGTGGAATGAATGCCTGTCAATGTGCACACTTTGGTTCATGTTCACACATCTAACAAAGTGTTAAGGGCTCAGGGGTTAATTTAAGTGTTGGAGTGAGAATTCAGTATTCTGGTCAGATAGAGTGGTAGGGCCATAATGATTAGGAGTTTAGGTATAGGTTAGTGCAGGGGTGGGCAAACTCTGGTCCCCCAGCTGGTGTGGAACTACAAATCCCATGAGGCAAGATTCTCACAGCCACAGGCATGACTCCCAGAAACCATGAGAGAGATCATAACTGCCCCCCTGATTACTGGCGATTTGATGACTGATAGAGTCAAGCAGGAGGGCAGATACAGCTTTCTCTCCAGCAAGGAGGAAAATGAGCACCACATCTTACTTCCAAATCTTGTGAGACCAGCAGTCAGGAGAAGCAGTGCCCTACATCTCACACTGCACATTAAAGCAGGAGTGACTAGGCACAGTAAGTACTGTCCCACAGTGACAGACCAGAGTCCTTCAATGGTGAAACCCCACTAGTTTCTATGGATAAATACTCTTCCTCACTGCATACTAAGAAAAATATCCTACCTGCTCCTGCACACTATCCACATGGCACCAATTCTTACTGGAATATCCTTCTTTCCTGTGCAAATGTTCTATAGATTCTATAAATCTATCTATCTATCTGATATCTATCTATCTATCTATCTATCTATCTATCTATCTATCTATCTATCTATCTATCTGATATCTATCTATCTCTCTATCTATCTATCTATCTATCTATCTCTCTATCTATCTGATATCTCTCTCTCTATCTATCTATCTATCTATCTATCTATCTATCTATCTATCTATCTCTCTCTATCTCTCTATCTATCTATCTATCTATCTATCTATCTATCTATCTATCTATCTATCTATCTAATATCTATCTATCTATCTGATATCTATTTATCTATCTATCTATTTATTATCTATCTATCTATCTATCTATCTAATATCTATCTATCTATCTATCTATCTATCTATCTATCTAATATCTATCTATCTATCTATCTATCTATCTATCTATCTAATATCTATTTATCTATCTAATATCTATCTATCTAATATCTATTTAATATCTATCTATCTATCTGATATCTATCTATCTATCTATCTATCTAATATCTATCTAATAATCTATCTAATTATCTATCTATCTATCTAATTATCTATCTAATATCTATCTATCTATCTATCTATCTATCTATCTATCTATCTATCTAATATCTATCTATCTATCTATCTATCTATCTATCTATCTATCTATCTATCTATTGTATCTCCCTATCTATCTCTCTATGAATATTATATATAGACAACTCTTTGATTTGATATTAATTAGTAGTAACCAGTACAATGGAGATGTCATACATGCTGTAACGTTACCCTATTGCACTGATTACACCCTGTGAAGCTGACACAAGTCCCCCCAGGTATGATCATACAAGACATATAGACACTCATTAGATGTCATCATTTATTCTAGGAAAGTGTCAGCCAGATATTATTATACAATAATCTAATAATCGGATGAGTTGCCTTGTCTGGGGTGTATACATTGGGGTCCCCGGCACACAAATCTCTTACTCACCTCGTGTATTCTCCAGGTAAAGGCGAGGAAGGTTCTCTGGCAGAGCTGGAATAGGAAATATTTGAATACACCCTTTCCTTGTGTGAAGAATGCAATGGTTTATATAAAAGTCCTTTTTGTTTTGGTCGGGTCACTTCTATGTCATCTTTCCCAGTCGACCAGCGAGCCGTCTCTCCGTCTTCTTTGTGAAGAGCAGAGCAGCGCTTTGGTAGTTTCCACTCGGACTGAACTGGATCTGCCTCCAGTCACAACATTTGGAGATTAAGACAGAAAATTGGCTTCGGTTCCAAGACGTGAGCTCCAATCCCACCGGAGCCAAGCACAACATGAAGAGAGCGGGGAGGAATATTAAACAGGAGTAGGGTTTGGGAGCCAGTCATCCGACACTCAGCCTCCGACTTTCAATACTGCTTTCTCTCTCTCATTAGACGTGCCTATTGTACTGCCCCCCATCCCCATCCTCATCCACTCCCTCCACTCTCTCCTCCTCACCTTCCTCTACACTTTCATCTCCGTACATTGCTGCACATTTCCACCAGAACTCCGGAGCGTGCACCCAGCCAGCTTGTACATTGGCCATGTTAGGTGCCGATTTCTGTGTTGGCTTCAAAGCTGCACTCCAGGCCAATATTAAAAAGTCAGAGCCGCCGAAGTGTAATGCTGGTTGTTGTTAAAGTGACATTAAAGTCAAAAGGTTTTTAAGCTATTTCAAATGCCAATGAAATTACTTACAATGGATGCTGCTCCTAGATGTTCAAAGAACAGAATAAAACGTAACCCTTGCAGTGGGGCTACCACCGCACTGCAAGGGTTAAGTGCACATTTTGGTCTATTCACCCAGACAGTGGCGGAGCTAAGGAACAAAGGGCCCTGGTGCAAGATTTTTTTTGGGCCCCCCCCCCCCCAAAAAAAAAAAAAAAACAAGGAAACCCGAAAGGCACAGAGA